CAGTCTACGTTAACCCGGTACCAGACCCACTAGCACTCCAAGTCGATGCGCTCTCCATGGAATGGGAGGGAATGTTTGCATACACTTTTCCCTCATGGGCTCTCGTAGACAGAGTACTGAAGTAAATAGAGGAAACAGACTGTGTCATAATCCTCATAGCCCCGGCATGGGCGAAAAGTGCTTGGTTTCCGAGACTTCTACAACTTCTGGTAGAAGTACCTCTGAAACTCCCGGTACGTCACGACCTATTGAGACAACCAAAGCGGACATATTTTACGGCCGCTTCGACAACCTCAATCTTCACGCTTAGAAGTTATCTCGAATAAGATGCAAGCCACCGATTACTCTAAATCAGCTGCACGAAGAGTGGCAAGCTCATGGAGACCAGCATCGTCTGCCCTATACAATAACATATGGGGCAGGTTTGTCGAGTGGAGATAAAAAAGGAAATAACGATACCTATAGTGGCTGAATTCTTGCTCTATCTAAAAAACGACAAGAAATTACGACATCAGTATTATAACACGTTGGTCTATATAAAGGTACCCACCCAGTACTGAATCGACTCGTAAAGTCCTTTGCCCTGGAAAAGACATTAAAGTGCCACATACTTCCCAAATGAGATCTAATTATAGTATTGCCAGCATTGATGAAAACACCATATGAACCCATGAGTAGTGCGACATTACTATTATCCCCAGGGAAACTGTTTGTTTTTTCTACTAGCCATGGCTACGGCGGCTCGTGTGTCAGAATTACACGCTATTGACACCTCCACTGTAACTCATACCCAAGAATGAAATCAGAGTCGTTTAGATTGCTCCCAGAATTTATTGCGAAAAACCAGTCGTCAACCTTTGGCACACTCGGACAGGCAATATTCAATACCAGCCTTTAGTAAAAGTGTGGACTTCCCGGATAGATTGATCTGTCCCATAAGAGCCTTGAGATACTTCATTACAGCAACTCAACCCCACAGAAAGCAGAGAAAATGCCTCTTTATCGCTTGCAAGACCTCGTCAGAAAAGGACATCACAGAGGGCACTGTAGCGGGATGGCAAATCAGTTATCATAGATAGCTATAAACTGGCACAAATCTCCACGCCGAGTTTGGGAAACTGCAGGCCTCACGAGATCAGAGCCCTTACAACAAGTCTAGCCACATGGAATACAGTATCCATTGAACAAGTTGTAGCCAGCTGCCAGTGGTAGTCCCACAACACTTTTCAAACTTTTACTTACGAGACATACAGACCGATCTAAAGACTATACACTCTGGGGCCCTTGGTGGCTGACCCAGGTGATAGTTGCCAAGTAACCTTGTTCCCCTTCCTCTTCCGGGAAGGGAAAAAGAGGGGGGAGGGGTGAAGATTTCAGAAGTACCTCATGAACTCAGGGTAAGTTGTCTTTGTCACTGGACTGCGCTATTGAGTAAGTAAAGCAGGGCAATTGGCAACACTGAAATCAGAGATCGAAGGATTAAGTGATATATGGTAATCTACATGATAGGAAACATCAATGTACTACCACCAGAAGTGACGTCATAGGAGTCATCACACCGGACTAACGTCAAGATACGTTAAATATCACTATCAAGAAGGGCATAACGGTAAACCACGTCAGTGATACGAGAATATAGTAGACATATACCACAAGAGGCATGGTATGACACCGGAAGTGACGTCATACTATGTCTAAGTATCACAAGGGAATATACATATACCCATCATATGACGTTTGAAAATTCTATACGTCTAAGTCTTGGAAGTAGACTATTAGACACATCCGTTTATACCCCCTTTGGGCATATAATCCTTGGTTTTACCACTCCACTAGCCAAATATCTAAGGGATGCTAGATACCAGAACCCGCCGGTCCCTCTGGTGTATTCTGGCACTGATGTGATAGAGGTGAGGTATTCACAAGAATTATCAAACAATAGTTATCATTGTGAATAATTCTAAGAATACCACCTCTATCACATCAGGAATTAATCCCTCCCACCTCCCCAAATATCTGCATCTAGTTGATGAGAGTAATGGGTTGAAAGAAGTGACTAGATTCCCGCCTTGCGCATGCGTGGTGGCACCCCTGGCAAGGGATAGGGTTTCCCTCACAACTATGGATATGTTGGCAGTGTAGTGGACATCTGTTGAAAATTTATAAAACAAATTATAGTGTGATTCTCAGCATAAACAGGAATTTATGGCACTGATGTGATAGAGGTGGTATTCTTAGAATTATTCACAATGATAACTATTGTTTGATTTCTAGCGGGTGATCTAAATGCTAGAATGAAAGATTTTCAAGATTTTATACTACATTACAATATTGACTTTATTGATAAGGATAATGATGACTACCCCTCGGATCACTCAAGCAGAGATAACCTTGTTCATACTGAGTAGGCAAAAAACATGCTGAACTGTGTAGAATATTTGGTATTCATGTAATGAATGGTAGACTGTTTGAAGATAAGCAAGGTCAGTTTGCATGTGTGACCCACAATGGAACAAGTCTTGTGGATTACATGATTGTCTTCTCCTCACTCTTCCCACATATCTCAAACTTTGGCATTGTTACATGTGATGAATCTAACCACTTTCCGTTATATTGCTCTTTTGTTCGATTGACTCTGCTTTATGCATAGATTTCTATTGGATACTGAAAGGGTTTTGTTGCTTTATTTAACATCCAGTCTCCCTACGAATGTTATGACAACAGTGACCAGATAAATAATAACAGCAAGTTTGATACGGACAGACAATCAAGCTGGGTTAAATATGTTTGGAATGAAAACACAAGAGATCTCTTGCTCACCAAGTTTACTTCTTTATATGACACTCTGCATGACAAATTAATTGATGGCATTATTCATGACATACAAAGAACAGTTTAAGATCTCACTAGATTGTATCAAGAAGAAGCTGAACATACTAAGAAACTTTATTAAGGATATTTTGCAGATGTCAACAAATCACAACCCCCACGGTGGGATGAAGAACTAGACAAAATAAAACATGACAAGTCTGTAGCTCTTGGAGATCACTGGTCAGGCTCGCTGACTTGTTTGATGCATGTCATTAATCCCAATTGCGTGGAGGGTTGCTCATCATATTAATCACTGGATTGTCTGGTCCAGACTCGATTATTTACAGACCGCTGTCATAAAGCTGGAATATTGCTGAGTGCGGCATTAAACAACAAACCAACCAACCAATCTTATAGCTCACTGGGACCATGGAGTGGCTGTTACTCATTTTAGATCATTTTGCACTAAGTTCAAACTAATGTTTGATAAGAACAAAAATGCCTGTTTTCACTCCCATAAAGAAATACTTATATATGTAGCTGCAAGAGACAATTCAAAAGAAATTTTGGAAAATTTTGAAGCAGTGCAGAGCTACCAATCATTTAAGTCAGGAAAATATTCCCCAAAACTGGATCGCACACTTCTCTAATCTGTGAATTGTTGATCTGGTTGAGGTTATGTGTGATGCAAGCAAGCCAACCCGAATCATCTATACAACTGGATCCATACACAGCCTCATTAAATCAAGATATTACTGAACAGGAAGTCTCTAGCTGTATTTATAATCTTGCAAACAATAAATCTCCAGGACCAGATGGCATCTCATCTGAGTTCTTTAAAGCATCAAAACCTTACACACTTTCTCTCTTTACATTAATATTTAATAAAATATTCTAAGACAGATTATTTGTCCTATCTTCAAGTCTGGTGTGAAGGCTGACCCCAACAATTACAGAGGCATATCACTGATACACTCTATGTGCAAGATATTTCACTTCTATTTTAAACAATCGGTTACGACTCGAATGTGATCAAATAATAGTATTCATGAGACACAAGCAGGATACAGATCAAATCATTCCACTGCTGATCATATATTTTCACTCCATGCAATGATCCAGAAGTATGCCTGTAGAAAGAAAGGCATATTCTACTGTTTGTTTATTGATTTTTCAAAAGCTTTTTATACTGTTAAACATTATGTATTGATGTCAAGTCTTAAAAATGTGGGTATAAATGGGAAAATCTTCAATATTCTTTCATCAATGTAGCCTGTGTAAGGACTTCCAATGGATTTTCTAGCTACTTCCAATGTAATGTTGGCACTCTTCAAGGATGCATCTTGAGTCCCCAACTGTTTACTATTTTCATCAATCAACCTATTAGTATGATAGTTGGTTTGGAAAATCTTTGTGAATCAACTGGTGTGTAAGTAAATGTGAAAAAGACTAAGGTTATGTTGTTTCGAAACAGCAGCCCAGTGCATCACTATGAGAGTTTGTGTCTTCACGGCCAGAAGTTTGAGGTGGTGTCATTGACAGTGCAGTAAACATATTCATTACCGGTAATATTATGAACACTCAAGATACACAAACAATAAATGATCTCTGTTTTTACTTATTTAATGTGTAAAAAATAAGAAATATGAATACTGCATGTGACATGTGTGTCTGTGCATGTAATTGTCAACCAATACTAATTGTACCCCTAAGTACCTAGTGTGTGGGTGTGGGTGTTGGTGTGGGTGTGGGTGTGGGTGTGGGTGTGGGTGTGTTTTGTAGGGCGAAGAAATGTAACTTCTATATATCTGTAGTTTGGGCTGTCAGCCTATATATTGAATAAATTGTCTTGTCTTTTCTTGATGTATCTGTAATTGTTGTATGCATAATAACACTGACTTGATAATAAAACAAGTAACAATGTATTATGTTCAGTGATATTTGCCACAACATATTTTTGCCCTCAGCCAGTTATTCATGTATCAATGTGTAAATTAATATACATGAAGATATATATTTGGTCAAAAGCTCTTATGTTTTCTATTGATTATTATTGGATCTGATGTAATGTTGCAGAAATATTCCGGTGAGCTACAGAGCTATGTGGCTATGTTTGTATGAAATGTGATCCCTTGTCTTGTTCATCAGATATGTCATACAGTGAACTGATACATTCTGATTTGTGAAAGGTGATAGAGGACTCCCTTCAACTGACGCGCCTCAAGTGGGTGATTGATGGGCACACTGATGAGTCCGGCCACAAGTACGAGGGGCTCATAGGTAATGATCCATTCTCATTCTCAACTCTGCACAACAATAGTTTCAAGCAAATGCTGTCAGTTCAGAATTCACTTTTTTGCTTCCAAATCACCTACAAGTTGATTCTGAAGACATATAATTCTTGTGAATACCCTACCTCTGTAACATCATAGCCATAAATTCCTATTTATGCTGAGAACCACACTACAAATTTGTATAAATTTTCAACAGACGTTCTCTTCACTGCCAACATATCTAATAGTTGAGGAAAACCCTCTCCCTCGCCAGGGGCGCCATTGCGCACGCGCAAGGCGGGAATCACGTCAATTCTTTCCTGTGTGTCCAGATGACAACAAGGAAATTTTGTTGTTGCATACATCTGTACACGTGATTGCTGTTCCACACTTACAAGCCACATTAGATCATCACTAAAGACAAGCAGTGAGCAGTTCTACAAGCAGAGAACAAGGGGGTATAAGAAGTCAGAAGTCTCTAGTAAGTAATTCATCCCAAAAACAGACACCCATCTGTTCAGCTTGTGGGCAACATCAAATCACTGGTGACCCTCATCCTACGTGCATATCGTGCAAAAGGGAACCGATGTACCTTTCGGGTTTTAATGTAACCAGTCACATACATCCGGAAGCTCAATGACCCTGATTATAAGAAGAACACTAGAAATATTCATCTGCTTCATGTAAGAAAGTTGGGTAACAAGCGAGTGTCGCGCGAGGACGCGGTCTCGTCTTATGACTTTAATGTAGCCTGTCACGTGCATCCAGAAGCGACTGGTAAGGTGGATTATCTAGGCTTGGAAGAAGCAACTGATCTCCACTCTATGCCACGCTCCCCCTTTAACTTAAATGAGTTCACGGAGAAAATAACCAAGTCAATGTCTGTAATGATTGATAAACATATGCAATCAATGTCTCAGGAGATCTCATATCTAAAGAATCTGTCACACAACCCCGACATGGCCAAACAGGGCTTGATCACAAGATTCAAAAGAGATCTAAGGCTGAATATGACAAGGCACCCTCATACAGCAGACACGCACAAAGTCTACTTAATCAGGTTATCATGAGAGCAGTAGGAGAGTCATAAGAAGAGATCGAGAATCTCATAGATTCCCTCCCTACCACGCACACCATAGGGTAGATCGTGAATCACGGGCATCGCATCGCAGTATGCACAAAAATACACACCAGTCACCTTCTAGCCACTATGATAGACGACTGACAAAGCTCGTGCAAATCAGGATAGAATTCCTAAGCGTGCGCCATCCCATACTGTCACACAGTCCAGTTATACGGGCGGAGAAAGCGAGGGAGATGTTACATCACAATCATACAGTTACAGAACATGTGATTCCCGCACTGCTAGCTGTAGATCAGACGATCGGGCATACTCTCTCTCAGCCATATGACCCATCTCCAGCGCAGCCTGAGCAGGGGGTGGGGATCTATGTGTGAAGACCATTTCTGGTGTCCCCCCGCAGTGATATTGCTGGAATATTGCTAAAATCGGCGTAAAACCATACTCACTCACTCACTCACAGCCTATTACAGCGTCGCAGATATTCAACGGCAGACTGAAGTCAGTGAAGAAAGCCGTTGCATCATCAACTAGTCAGAAGTTTCAAGAATCCACAATCTCATTGGCATCCAAGATACAGAGACGGCCTGCAGATCTTCAGCATCAACAACAGTATCCTCGTCATATGAAGATTGGTTGGGATTCTTTCTAGCCTCTACATGGAAGGACATATCGTCTCACCTCAAGTAGAGGAAATCCTAAGATGATCATCCCACTTCGCTGAGAGGACAAAGCATAGGCAGAGGCAGTCTCCGGGGGGGATACCGCCGGAAATGACTCAACCAGAAATCTACAGATTCCTTCAGATCCTACCGAGACTCCCTGCCCAGTGGACAACGATTTAGAACTACATAAGATCAACGATACAAAGTGGCCATACGAAAACTACTTGCAAGGGAGCTATCAGCATCTTAAAGGAGTCAGACACCACTCACGGATTCTACTCCTCAGTATTCCTGGTACTGAAGAAGAATTCTTCAGAGATGCGATTAATCATAGACCTAAAAGTCCTGAACAAAGATTATCTGGGAAAACCTCCCAGTTTTCATATGGAATCTATCAAGAAGATGAAGAATGCCTTAAGACAAGCAGATTGAATGATAAGCATAGACCTCCAAGACGCCTATCTTCACGTCCCTATGCATCGAAGTCATCGTCGTTATCTGCGCCTCGCAGTCAAAGGTCAGAGATACCAGTTCAGGGTACTTCCATTCAGCATATCCATCGCCCCATTGTTATTCACCAGGATCACCAATCCCATCATCAGATTTGCCCATATAAAGCTCATAAGGCTACATGGATATATAGACGATTTCCTATCGGCCAATCAAGACAAATCGCAAATCAGATTAAATACAGTGTGCCTTATTCAACTACTAACACACTTAGGATTCCTGGTTCACCCTCAAAAATCAGAATTAGTACCCACATAGGAGATCACCTACATAGGCGCAAGATTTCTACTCAACAAGGGGATAGTAGTACCTCCAGAGGACAGATATGCAAGAGTAGAGCACATGATAACAAGCGCACTCGATCAGCCAATCAAATCGAGACGCTGGTGGATGTCTTGCCTAGGCACGCTCACATCTATCCAAGATCTAACCTACAGAGGCAGACTACAATTACGGCCCCTTCAGAATTGGATCAATACCACCAAAGACCTAGAGCTGGAAGCCTTAATCCAACCTCCACAAGTTCGAATCTCAGAACTTCATTGGTGGCTGACTCGTCAAAATGTCATGCCAGGTATTCCACTCTCATATCCCACCCCCTTACATCAACTCTACACAGATGCATCAGGAGAGGGATGGGGTGCCCATATGGACGATGTTACCATAGAGGGAAAATGGTCCTCCAAAGAAAAGGAGTTACACATCAATTGTCTAGAAATGAGAACGATATATCTAGCCCTAGAAGCATGGCAAGATCGTCTGCACCACTCGTCAGTAAAGATCGCTACAGACATCTCGACCGTGGTCGCTTACATACAGCACCAGGGGGGCACAAAGTCTCAGCCTTTTTTGAAGGAGGTTACATGTTTATTTGCCTTGCTAGATTCAGTGAGTTGCAGGATCGAAGCAAGACATATACCGGGCAAGCTCAATATCCTAGCAGATTACCTATCCCGGAAAAACAGGATAGTACCCACGGAATGGTCACTACATCCCGAAATATTCAAATGGATAACCCGCCTATGGGATACTCCAAACCTAGATCTATTCGCCACATGTCTCAACAACAAACTACCAGTCTACGTGAGCCCTGTACCAGACCTGCTAGCTCTCCAAGTCGACGCTCTCTCTATGGAATGGGAGGGAACGTTTGCGTACGCATTCCCCCCATGGGCTCTCGTAGACAGAGTACTGAAGAAAATAGAAGAGACAGACTGTGTCATAATTCTCATAGCCCCGGCATGGCCAAACAGGGCTTGGTTTCCAAGGTTACTTCCCCTCCTAGTGGAAGAACCTCTGAAACTTCCGTTACGTCACGATTTACTGAGACAACCGAAAACGGGCATATTTTACGGCCGCCTCGACAATCTCCACCTTCACGCTTGGAAGTTATCTCGAATAAGATGCAAGCCGGTTACTCTAAATCAGCTTCACGAAGAGTGGCAAGCTCATGGAGACCAGCATCGTCTGCCCTATACAATAACAGATGGGACAAGTTGTGGAGAATGAGAAATCATTTAAACGTGGAGATAACGATACCAATAGTGGCGGAATTCTTGCTCTATCTCAGAAATGACAAGAAATTACGACATGGCACTATCGAAGGCTATAGATCTGCCCTGGCATCAGTATAACAACATGATGGCCTATCTATAGGTACCCACCAAGTACTAAATCGACTCATGAAGTCCTTTGCACTGATAGACATTAAAATACCTCATATATTTCCAAAATGGGATCTATCTATAGTATTGTCAGCATTGATGAAACCACCTTATGAACCCATGAGTAGTGCGACATTACTATTAGTTTCCATGAAGACCGCATTTCTCCTAGCCATGGCCACTGCGGCTCTTGTATCAGTAAAATAAGTAGAAGTAAAAGTGTGGACTATCCGGACAGATTACTTTGTCCCATAAGAGCCTTGAGGTACTTCATTACAGCAACTCAACCCCACAGAAAGCAGAGAAAACGCCTTTTCATCTCTTGCAAACCCTCGTCAGAAAAGGACATAACCAAGGGTACTGTTGTGGGATGGCTCAGATCGGTTATAGCAGATATCTATGAACTGGCACAAGTCTCCACGCCAACTTGGGGAAACTGCAGGCCTCACGAGATCAGAACCCTTGCAACAAGTCTAGCCACATGGAATACAGTATCCATAAGTCATAGCTAGCTGCCAGTGGAAGTCCCATAACACTTTATCAAACTTTAACTTACGAGACATACAGACCGATCTGGATGGACTATACACACTGGGACCCTTGGTGGCAGCCCAGGTGATAGTCTCCAAGTAACCTTGTTCCCCCCTCTTCTCGAGAAAAGGGAAAAAGAGGGGGGTGGGGTGTGTGTGAAGATTTCAGAATACCTCATGAACTCAGGGTAAGTTGACCTTTGTACTTAGTTTGCTGTTTGATAGAAGACAGGGCAAATGGCAACACTGAAATCAGAGATCAAGGATTAAGTGATATACGGTTTCTACATGATAATCTAGGATGTATGATGTACTACCACCGGAAGTGACGTCATGGGAGACCTTGCGCCGGACTAACGTCAAATACGTTAAATATCACTATCCAAAAGGGCATAACGGAAAACCACGTCATAAGTGACAAGAGATCAAAGAAGACATATACCACAACATGGGTATTAAATGACAACCGGAAGTGACGTCATGGATGACGTCATCACCGGAAGTGACGTCATGATATGTCTAAGTATCACATTGGTGGCTATATACTTGGATATTATACCCATTATATGACACTTGTTTTTTCGATGTCTAGTCTTGTGAGTAGACTATTAGACATATTCCGTTTGGCCCTTTTGGCATACAATCCTTGGGTTACCACTTCACAAAGCCAAATATCAAAGGGATGCTAGATACCAGATCCCACTGGTCCCTCTGATGTATACTGGCTATGATGTAATAGAGGTAGGTAATTCACAAGAATTATCAAACAATAGTTATCATTGTGTATAATTCTAAGAATACTACATCTATTACATCAGGAATTAATCCCTTCCACCTCCCAAATATCTGCATCTAGTTGATGAGGATAATGGGTTGAAAGAAGTGAGGTGATTCCCGCCTTGCGCATGCGCAGTGGCGCCCCTGGCGAGGGATAGGGTTTCCCTCACAACTATTAGATTTGTTGGCAGTGAAGAGGACGTCTGTTGAAAATTTATAAAAATTTGTTGTGAGGTTCTCAGCATAAACAGGAATTTATGGCTATGATGTAATAGAGGTAGTATTCTTAGAATTATACACAATGATAACTATTGTTTGATTTCTCCTTAAAGCTAAAGTATTGTTGTTCATACAATAGTGCCATCAGAGTTTGGGATACTAATGTGTCAGAATAATGTATATGACCTGCTATTGATAATTTCAGCAATAATCCGTCTGAACCATGTGTGTGACAGTCGGCGTTCCTACCAGTGTATCAAGTTCCTGGTGGGAGTCAGCAATCGGTGTAGTATTGCCAAGGACTATCTACTCAGCACACCCAGTAAGTGGCAGTGGGCAGTCAACTGGCTTAAGAAGAAGGTATGTATGAAGGAGGGCCCAATACACGAAAATAGACCAACTGTCAGTTAATGTATTTTTTAATTTATTCCTGCATTACTCCTTAATGCATTTACTGCTTGTTCTTGACAGTCAGAAAGAGCTGTGTGAGGTCTTGCTGAAGAAAAAGAAATTGTTTCAACTAGCTGAGTGGCTAATCCTATCACACACCTCCCACGTGACCACAAAAGGGGTGATGCCACATGTCATCACATTACTGCTGTCAACCAAGGAAGAAAGACCTTTGTTTTGAGATCTCAAGTTTTTCACTGAATCCTTTACATGTTAGCGAACTCTAGCTTTTTCTTTTTGTGATGTATATTGTGCATATGATTTATGTCTTCGTATATTTCATATGATTTACGCCATATCATGAATATTTACCACCTGGTGGTAGTATTCACCAAAGTAATTACAGGCGTGTTGTTGTTTCAAGTTGCCATCTGGAATATTGGTCATGGTCATGCTTTTTCTTGTCATGCGTTTTGTATTCTCTGTATTGCTTGGTACTACATTAATTGTTGTATCTTTTCAATGATAATGTTTATTACAGTGGTGGTGTTTCGCATTGTTTGTGAAAACTTGTTTGTCATAAATCAACATGGCTGGGACAAACGATTATAGCAAACATAATCGGGTGGGGACGCATTTTGATTACTCTCTGCTATTATTGTAGATACATGCCAAGTTGTAGCAAGAGTCACCGTAATAAGTCTGTGTGGGATCCACATCCATTGTGCCTAAATTGCCCCTCTATCTGCACTCAGACTTCCAAAAGTAAAGACTCTCTTCGACTTTCCCCCTACAGCTTTTTCTCCTCTACAAGCATCTCTACAGATGCCCTTACAGACGCCTGGTGGTGCCTCAAGGGTCCGGTCAACCTTATCTCACGGTTCTACCTTGCGAGGCGCCTTTTCCTGACGCAGTGGAAGCAAGTCTTCTCGCATTAGACACCACTCTCAGATAGACGAGGACTTCGCTAAGCTCTCTCTAACATCCTCATTCAAGGTACCTAAGGACCCTGAATTCAAGAGGGATCTGTTATGCCAACCCTGGTCATCCACATCCCTATTTAATGGGCAAGTCAATCACACCCACGCTCGATTACAAGCTTTGCCAGAGATGAGACTGCCCTCAAGGTCCTGGCACACATTTTGCACTCCTCCTCCTTTAAACCCTCCAGGTCAGGCAACTATCAGGCCAGACGAAACTCACTTAAGCCATGCGGACGCGACAACTCCACCTTTCACGGCAGAAGCCAGGGCAAGTCTAGGCTAGGACCTCCCTCCCCCAGTCATTCCAATTGTCGAGACCCCTGTAGGTGGGAGACTAGGGCGATACAGGTGAAATTGGGAAATCTTTCACGTCTGTTGAAAATTTAGGGTTTCAGCTCACTCTGAGAGACGACCCGCCGCTGACGTCGTTACCCATAGCAGACTCTTATCTCCCTACACAACAGCAGCTCCTGCGCTCCAACACCGACACACTGCTGACCAAAGAGGCCATAGAGATTATCCACTCCCCAGCCTTAACACCAGGCTCCTATTCGCCAATATTCCTTGTCCCCAAGAAGGACTTACCGATTCCACATGATACACAATTTGGCCACATTCAACAAGTCCAACCTAGAATGTCCACCGTACTTCTGGATGACCATAATCCTCAATCTAAGGAATGTCCAATGCGAGGTGTACATAGACAACTGCCTCCTGAACCACCAGATCACGGACACACTCCTCCATCACAGGGCCTTCACACAACGTCTCCTACATCAATTAGGATGGATCGTCAACATGCGAAAATGAGAACTCACGCCCTTAGCAATCTCCAGTTCATCGGAGGCATTTTCCAAACCAACAGAGACCTATTCCCAGCACTCTGCGCCAGTGGCAGGTATTCCTAGGTCATGTTTGCGCAGGATCTGATCTCCAGAGGGAGCCTTCAACTGCACCCCATACAGATGTTTCTTGCTCCCTACATCAGTATCCAGGATCAGTCAGTGTCCATCGTCACTTGTACTGTCTTAAACCACACCTCCAATGGTGGAATCAAATGTCTTAGATGGTGTCTCCTTGACAGAGCTTACAACCTTGTTACACCTTTTCCTTGCTGCCTGTTTTCAAGAATGGGGAGCACATCTGGAGGGTCAAGTCGCCTCGGGGGCTGTGGTCCGCTGCTCAACAACAGTGGCGCACCAACAGCTGCTCTTACTAGCTCTCTCTCACTGGAAACAGACACTCAACCGCTTTCGGATCACCATATCCAAGAACATCACTGTTATATGGTGCCTCCGCAGTCAGGGCATGACCCATTCCCACTCACTCTTACTCCTAGGTCAAACGTTCCGGTTCCACCTTGTCAACTGGAATTCCAGTTTTGGGTCCAACACATCCCAGGTTGTTGCAACATTCTTGCGGACGCCCTTTTCAGACCGGACAAGGTAGCTCCCACACAGTGTAAACTCCATCCGGACTCCTTCGCTCTTGTCTGTTAGCGCCTCGGCCACCCCAACATCGACCTATTTGCAACCAACCAGAACCAGACCTTCATATCACTGGTACCGGACCCACAGGTATCCAAGGACCAGCTGTCCACGGCAACCAAGCTATCCAGCCAACCGACCAGCCAGCATAAGACACCGTACAGTGGTTACACAGACTCCATGGGCCGGCCTTTCATGGCAACCCAGCTGACCGACCTGTCATCCAGCCAGCTGACCTTTAGGACACCATGGACTCCATGCCGACCGTCCAGCCACTTGGCTTACCGTATGATCTTCATCAACTGGCAGTTCCCAAGCCGGCCCCTCGGGCTACTAGGGATCATCCAGTCAACCATTCTACTGACTGGTCACTGCATGGCTACCGTTACTCAAGGATCATCACAAGCCGCACTGGCATTAATTATACTGGAATCATGGACACAGGAGGAGTACGATAATTACCCACCCCCCACGGGAGCTACCCAAGGTCACTCGGAAGCAGAAGTGGATAGCGAAGATCAGGCTGATGACTCAACCCAGCGGGACGACCTTCATAGAGATGATAGAAGAGGTCTATGATCTTATGCCTGTACTCCAACCTTGTCTGACACAGAATGCGCCACCCCAGATGCCGGAATAGGGGGGATGTCACGTTACCTGCTACGAGGTTTAAGGATCTGACATCGGTTTCCAGATACACTATGGATATTGGTGCTTACATTAATTGGTTTGTTGCCGGAATCAGACACAGCATTCCACCATTACAGCCATCCTATGAAGGAGTTATCATGATATGAAATTTATACTAAGTTTTCATATAATAATTAGATCCACAGCAAGTGCTTTTATAAGTTATCATGGTGTAACATTTATACAAAATTTCATATAATTATAGAACAGCTAATAATACATATTAGGATCCAGGAAAAATGCAGATACAAAATATTAGTAGTTTTAGTTATGGCTTTTAATACATAGATGCTAGCCTGAGGTAACGAGAACCAATCTTCCAGACATACTATTTAATAAGACAAAAGTTATGCCTACATAGTTTAATAGATTTAAAGCTTTTTGATAAATACTAGCCTAAGGTAACAAGATATGTCTACATAGTCTTAGAGATTGCCTTGAACTATTTTATTTAAGTAAATCTGTCATCACCTATATTAGAATAACATTTAGCAAAGACCTCAATTTAGACCCTGTAAGGATTAGCCCCCATACAAGCTCGTCTATAAGCGATATCATAAACTCTTTACAAGCACCCAGTAAATATGTCAACAAGATTAGTGCCAATCCAACAGGGTTAAGTATTCCCCTCTGTCTAGCCATTCATTTACTGTAGGGCACACCTCATTGTGTATCAACAACCAATCATATCTCTTTTTAGTGTTCTAATATGTGTTAAATACAAAAATGTTAAGCAGAAGGGGTTTGACGCTCAAACCAAGCAGACCTGTCTGTGGCATCCACAGCTATATTTAGAAATTGTTCATTCTTTATTGTTCTTGTAAATAAAATTGTAATTAGTCTCCTGTGACTCCGGCTCTTTGCTGACTAATTCCCACAAGAAAACCAGCACGCAGCAGGTTTGTACCTCAGAACAGACTCTCCTCCCAAATCTTGATGTCTTCACAACTCCTTATGGCTACAGCGTCAACAACTTTTATCCCTGATCCGATGCAGAGCTGTTTCTAAAAAGACTAAGAGGCTGATAACAACACATCCTATATCAGCTACCACAACATTCAAGGGAAAATTGGGACACATGATAGAGGAAGTGATCATCCCATCCTCAGAAGCATCCCTGGGAATATAAATCTTTGTATTCCAAACAGCCTCCTAGGAAGAAGTTTGTCCCCTCCCGGAAGGATTCATTCCAACCGAGTCGGGGGTACGACAAGCGACAATCTGCTCAGGATTCTTTTTGCCAACCAGACTACGAGAAACGGGATATAATCGCCATGGAAGATCTAGAGGCAGAGGCGAAGGCGAGTTCTGACTCCCATACCACCCCCTCCGACGTTTTAGACCCTTTCCACCTGGTTATGTCAATGGACTGTGATTTACGCCTACCGTCTTTCAACATAATGCCGGGACTAGTGGGAGGGCATCTTCTGTCATACGCCGAAAATTTGAAGCAAGTAACGCCCGACCACTGGATTCTATATGTCGTGACTCACGGGTACAAGCTACATTTCAGGAAACATCCTATCCTGAAGACACACCGTCAGATGCAGATTTCATTTAGTGGGGGCCAAGTTAGTGGCAGCAGATTTGGCCGTCAGGAAGCTACTAAAGAAGTGAGCAAATCGGACACTAATGGAGACCAACAACACAAAGGATTTTTATTCTACGGTCTTCTTAGTCCCGAAAAAGAATACAACCGAAATGAGGATGATTATTGACCTAAAGACCCTCATCAAAAGATGTCTGGTACCGCCGCCAAAGTTCCAGATGGAATCCATACGGAAGTTATGGTCGACGTTGAAGACAGGGG